AATTTCTGGTTCGGAATAACTTTTTTAGTATTTGTTTGAACCGAAGTATAGCTCGATTCGGTCTGTTAAATCAGATTCAGAAATCATAATAAACACTTTTCAACTCTTGAAAAAAAACAAAATTTTGTTAATCATCTGGAACATATATTAAGTTTAGATGATTATTGTAAAAGCAAAAGGTGGGTTTAAGCCCATATAGTGAACACGAAATGGTCAAAGATTGGGCCACAAGAGACTGAGAGGTGAAGCAACTTGGCTAGTGGCCACAAATCTAATCTAATATGGGCCCCAATCAGATCTTTCAACGCTCACAAGACCGACTTTACAAAGTTCATGCCGTTTATTATACTCTTTGTGTTTTTTGTTTTAGGTCAAAAAGAAAGAATAAAATAAAATGCAATCAAGCATATGTCACTCTCTATTCAAATGTTTGGAATTGGGAAGATAATAAAAGTCTATAAAGTTTAAAACAATGAACAATGTTGATGACAAAATCCTTTTAATCAATAGCTAAATATTAGAAAACATACAATTTGATATAAAACGAGCTTTTGTGTGATTACACTCTGTACAAATACGATCGATTTTCTAAAGAGTATGCACTTATTTTCACTAGAGAACCTCTATAACTTAATACTCAATACATCAACAAATTTACGTGATCTCGAATTAGTGTATCAGTACATTTTGTATCTCTATATATTTATCAATTATTATGGTCCTAAACATTATTAGATTATAAAAATTTTACTTTAAGTATAATTAACCCAATTTAGCCTTTGGTGGTTTTGTAAGTTAAATTTGGGTGTGAGGCAAACGTGATTAATCACTACACACCACAGCACCTTATAAATTTGGTCTCAAAACTATGGCAAGTGCCTGTACCATTCTATTGTCGGGCTTTTACATGGGCCAATTTCATGGAAGATTTGGCCCAAAACAGAAAAAGTTCGTGCTTCAAGCATGTCAATATCCAGAGTTGCGTGCTTTTCGCGTAATTTTTTGACATCATATCATATGCAGAAATTTCGCCTTTAGTCCTCAAACTTTTGTCATTTTCTGATTTGTTTACCACAAAAGCGCGTGGAAACTCATTTTTCTCTCGTCATCTTCTTCCCATTACTTGTAAACAATCAAATCATATACAATGTTGAAAAAAATGCAACCATGTGAAACCTTAATTAAAATAGTGGGAAATTAAAATGCAACCATGATCATATATAAGAACAAGAGAACAATGGGGGAATTTCTATAATATTAAAATTTTTTTTTGGAAAATTCTGTAATAGACGAAAAATTTGAGAAAAACATTGGTGATAAACGTAACTAAAGGATTACTTCTACAGTAAACAAATTTTACAAGGAGTACTTAAACAATAAACGAATTCTTTAAGTGCAATTCTAAATAAATAAAAAACAGAGACAAATGCATATAGCCAGAGATAAAATGGGTTATTATAGAACTCAGAAACGATTTTAACTCTCAATTACAAAATGATCAGAAGAATATGTATGAAGAAGATGCATCAAGTGGATGGATTAGATACGTAAGCACCAGAGCAAGCACCATTAGCAAATACGCAATCCCTTGATCAATCGATGTTCCTGTTTTAATCAATCAATTACACACATATTTATTACAGATATATTCAATTTTAAATTTCCCCTAATCACGACACTAATGATTAGAGTCACTTCAGATCTGAGGGAGAGAATGTGATAATTGCAAGTCGGAGAAATTTACCGTCGCTTGTAGGAGAAGGAGCAGGAGCTAAGGATT